GGTAACAACAGCAGGCTACAGACAATTTAAAGTTTTAGATTTTAAACAGTCTGTATACATTTCAATGGGAGCAACAGGACGGTGAAATGTCGCTGATTTTACTACAGAGCAGGATTGTAGGGCAGCAAACATTGTCAGAAAACACGTTTTTAACACTGCAGGTTACCTGGTGTAATGTTTTTCAGCTAAAAAGAAACATGGTCTGACTCCTGCCAACTATATAAAGAGTAACTGAAGGTTAAATGCAGCTAACATGTCCTGTTTTAAGCCACCATCGCTCTGGCAGAAAGGGCGCTAGAGCCGGAGCAGGGGAGAGCTGGAACAAACCACTTTGGGAGGGGGGGGGTATCTATACTTTTGTTGTTAAAATGTTCCGTCTCAATTACGTACTGTATGCTTTTTATATTTTTAGTAGTGTGTCCCACAAACAGCAAATATTATCAAAAAAGTAAGAAATCTTTGGGGGTGCTTTGATTCATTTTGGGGGTGCTGAAGCTGAAGCACCCCCAAAAAGGGGCTAAAATAGCCCATTTTTTTATGTGTGCTCAAAAAAAAATTTGAGCGCACATAAAAAAAAGTTTGCAAGTGCAAGTGTTGCATTTTGAGGAGAAATTTATTTTATTTATTTGAGTGAACAAAATTCATTCCTGCATGCAAAAAAATGTGATCACCAGTTTAGCTCGCTGGGCTGTTTTAGCTCGGTGAGATCAGCAGCCGTTCTCAGCCCAGGACGTCTGGGTTCAAGTCCTGCTTATCGCAATATTTTCTTCAGTTAACACTTCAACTGTTTAAACTCTTTTCCACACAAACTTCAGCTTCTTTTCCTCTTTCAGCAGAAAGTCTGCTGATTCATCTCTTCTTAGCACAATTTTCATTCTCTTCTGCTCTTGTCAGCACAATTCAGCTTCTTCTGCACAGTGAATATTTTTTCTCTCATCATATCTTTGCTTGAGACCAGAGCAGGTGTTGCTCAGTGGGTTGAGCAGCCACAATGAGGTCTGGTGGCAAAGGTTTGAATCCTACATGTGACATTTGCTGCACATCTTTCCTGCTTGCATGCACTCTGCGTTATTGACACTGCTTAGTGTGCCCGTTCAAATACAGCAGTTTTCAGCAGGTAGTTCTCCTTCTTCTGCTGTTTTCAGATTACACTACACGGCATTTTCGCAGGAAATGCAACTTTTTCTAGTTACAACTGTTTTTGCATTACTGCCGCCTTGTGGATATACGAAGTATATCGATCCCAATTAACTTAACTTAAATGTTATGCCATCAAGTAACACATTAGTATTCTGTACAGACAATAATAGAGACGATTACATAGACTTTATTAGAAAAACATATTTTAACTTAACAATAACATATTTTAAGTAAAATGAAAATAAATAATTTATATAGACTGGTTAGGACATGCTTTTTAAAAAAGTGGGAGAAAAATCATCAGAAATATCAGAAAAGGTGTTAATGCGACATTTGGTGAGTTACATTACAGCGAGTTACATTACAGCGAGTTACATTACAGTCAGTTACATTACACTGAGTTACATTACAGTCAGTTACATTACAGTGAGTTACATTACAGTCAGTTACATTACAGTGAGTTACATTACAGTCAGTTACATTACACTGAGTTACATTACAGTCAGTTACATTACAGTGAGTTACATTACAGTCAGTTACATTACAGTCAGTTACATTACAGT